TCTACTCACAGCTGCTTCAGACCCCCGTAAATACACCCCAATAGCAATATCAATCACCGTCTATCATGTCCAACAGTAGCTACATCAACGCACTAGTACGCTCTCTCTACGAGGAGGGCCAGGAGCATAACGATAGCACGTTAAGCTGCACTCAATCAACGACTAGTGAATCTCCCGATCTAACTCCTTTATTGTCTGTAGAGTGCAATTTGGCCCGCCAAAGACATCTCTGGCAACTTCGGCATGTTGTGGACATGCCATATATAACTGATTATTTTGCTTTGAGCCTGTACACGTACCGGTACCTATTTTAATAGGCACCGGTATTTTGTTCGTCGTTATGTGACACAGACATTAATTGTTTGACCAGCTTGCATGCAATTTTTTGCCGCCCCCGATTTCAAATTGCAGCATCCAGGTTGCGAGCTCTTCGTCCATTTCGTCCAGAAATGGTCGACTATTTTCGTCCAAATGGACGAAGGCTCAACGGTTCGGAAGCAGATCAAAAAGGGCACACACGCCCAGTAATTTTGAGAACAAACAAGCGCCAGTCGGCCAATGTGGATCAAACATTAAAGACTATGCTATTCCCATCATTCTGTCCGAACGACATCCTCGAAAAGCTGACTCGGCGCGACTTGGTCCAGTTACAGGCCGCTCCAGTTTTTTAGTGACAGAAAAGGACTCCATATGTCCGTTACAGTGCTGTGGAGAGGTTCGCTTGCTTTTCTTCTGCCTGAAACGGTTGGATCAAGAGCTACTACAGAATGTACTCGCCTGGAATATTCAGATTATAATATAATTCAATATAATTCAATCATACGAAGTGGAAGATTTGTCTAAGTGGCTTTGTACAAACTGCCAGACATTGACATCACTGTCGTCTAAATGGTAGCTTTCGGGTGGTTCCACATCAGGCACAATGAAAAGGGCAAATACAGCGGTAAAGCCTTGTACCGCAACTCGTCCCGTCTGAAACACCTTTTCATTTCCCGCTAATGCCAAAGGTCCAATCTCTCCTCCCGCATAAAATCCTAAACAGGGTACATTTGGGAAAATGTTTGAGAAGCGCGTCGCATCCGCCATTGCCTCGGCAATCAAACCCCCTCGTTGCGGACCCCTTCCATTACAACTGTACATGACCGCACCCAATATTCTTTCTCCAGTGGTCTGCTCTTTCAATTTAGATACTGTAATATCCATATCAGCCAAGCACGCTTCGCCAGTGAGTTTGAAAAAATCAATTTCCGCATCCTGCATTGTTTTAATATCTTCTTGAGACCCATTGGTCATTATGAGAAACTGTTGGGCCATTTGACAATATGGCGTCATTATATGTAATTCAAAACCGTCGCTGCCTGGCCGCTTCAATCCGATGAAGTCAGCTGTCTGGGCCACTTGGTTAATCATTTCAGCAGCCGTGAGCACTTGTCCAATCTCTGTATTACGAATCCGATGAATCATGTGCATGGGTTTCAGATCATCCCCCCGAAACAAGTAGGCGTCATCACCTGGCCTTGCTAACTCCACAGTCTCCACGACAAAGGGTGAAGTTGGCTGTGCTGGGCCTTGTAAGACACTTTCTACGCCTCGAGACACCATGGATTTCACAGGAGCGTCACCTCCCAATAGGACTCCAAATACAGTATCCTCACAATAGGTGAGAGATGGTGCTTGGCTGCTTTGTTGTTGTGTTTGGCACAGTTGATAGACATGATCTACTAGCTCAGACTTTTCCACAAAAGGTTGGTTGACATCGCCGCCTAAAGATCGATTCAAGTTCTTCAATTGCCTCGTAGTCATTTTGGACAGTTCATCTTTGGTCTTCGATCCAGTGGATTTGGAGACATAACCGGAAGCACAGATTCCACCCACAATGGCTGCATTCGGTAGGCTTTGCTGCATGGTAGAAACAAAATATTCAGCGAAAGAACTGCCATGGCCACAGGCGTAGACAATCATTGCCTTCCACCATCTTTCATCCGTCTGTTGTTGGATTTTCTGTTTCATTGATTGGATATCTTCTTCCATTTGCGAACCGTGATTGATTGCAAATGGGACCACTTCAGCATTTGGAAAGCTAGCAAACATGGCACTAGCATTACTTTTGTGCTCTACGTTGCTCGATTGATTGACTTGAATGTCTCCTGCAATCGCACCAAGGATTGTAGTATCAGGAGAGCAGTGAAATCGTCGTGGCAGTTCATCACCCAGCGCGCTTCGGGGAGAATTGAAAGCCAAAATTAAATTCGGTTCCTTTTGCAAGCCTTCGATTCCTTGTTGTACCACTTCTTTGGATCCAATTTGTTCCTTCGTGGAAGGATCCCAACTCGATGAAGTGACCAATTGTGGACCACTGAGACTGCGATATTGATGAACCAAGTAGTAATACCGCTTAGCCGATGCTGCCAGTCTTCCAGAATCCATCGCGTTCAGAAATTGCACCATGTGCAACACGAGATCGGAATTAAAGTCTTCCATTTAGATTTCTTTGATGCTGTTTCTAATGAGAAATGTCATCCGAACTGCGTGTGGACCACCACCATATTTGAGGGGGCGAAAATCCCCACTTTGATAAGATCCCTAAACAAATTCCGCGACTTTTGACATTGAAATTTGAAATAGTACTGTAGATACATTTTGATTGTAGTACGGTATGTATGGTAGTTTTACAATGGTACCGGTATCATTACAGTACTGTACCGCGAATTATTTTGGTACACTTGCTGATCATTCTTAGTCAAAAACATTCGAGCGTCTGAAATCTTGTTTAATCTTGAAACTTGCCAATCAGCTCCAAAGCAAGTTGGTTACATCTTATGGTGTCCCCATGGGATGTTGTTGTTCCCTCCTCCAGATCAACAGTGGTTAACTCTTGCAAAATACCAACGAATCCTAGATCTTGTATGAGCTCTTTTGCCACTTCGTTCACATTGATTCGGTCTGGGAATACCAATCGCCCGCACAACACAAGCTGGCGCAAACGAGTGGTTGGATCTTTCTCTTCTGTCAAGTTTTCCATTGCAGAACAAAGGACTGAAACCACTGCATCATCTGCCATGTCATGGTTATGCTTGTTCTTCAACAGCGCGTAGTTATAAAGAAAAGTAGACGCCGCTTGTCGAACCTGGATGGCTTCGTGGTGCCAATCACCAATGGCAATATCAACGAGTGGAGGAGTGTCACTGGGGATCATGCTGTTATCAATGGATGCCATATAGTTACTCGCAACACACCACGCCAGAGATCTTGTAGTTGGTGTTTTCCATGTGTCTGGAAACAGCGTCGCACCAAACATCCATTCCATGCAGTCAACAGTGTCTTCGGCGTACTTCAAAACTATTAGCCGCAACAGAAGCAGTGCAAATGGAATATCTTGCGAGTTTGTGTCTTCCGTCAGAATATGCAGCAAAGACTCCACAGTAGCAGGAACAGCTTGATCAAGCGTCTCTTTGTGAACAGAAGAGACGGATACTTTGAGAGACTTGGTTAGGATGTCCAACTTGGCAAGGTCGAGTGAGTCATTGCATGCGACCATTCGGGATGACAGTTTCTTGATACAAAGCTGCAATGATGTGGTGTCACTGGAGAGCATTGGTTGTGTAAAGTCATCAAGTACTGAGGGTACTTTGATTGGCATTGGTCTTGAAGCATTTTTCGAGGCTGGCTCGTGCGCTGTAGACTTGGACCAAGGATTTATGAATAGGGAATCCGTTGTGGCCTTACTAGGTGAAGCTGGTGATGCCATCTTTAATGATGCCGTCAATGGCAGACGTGCAGTGGTGTACTGTGTATCAACACTGCCCTGAACTGGGGCCATTTGAGTTATCTGCATCTCTTCCAACATAGGTCTAATCATCATACCCATTGGCGACGACAAGAATCGTTGTGGGACACTCAAGATCCATTCAGGTACGCCTCTTAGTAGTTTCAATCCGTTAAGTGCTGCTTCATGAGAAAAATTGTTGCAGTTT